TAAAGCAACAGAGTATAATGCTTCTAAAAGAATTCATTATCTGATCTATACTTTTAAAATATCAGCAAGAAAGCAAGTTTCCATAAAATTATTGGCACTGTATTCCTATAATACAGCCAAAAGAAATTCAAGCATATCAATGATTATCATGAAAATACAAATAGGAACACATCCACATACATCCCTGCCTCTATACTTCCTTCTGCCCCTCTGCTGCCAACCTAGTGAAAAAGCCTTGCCATCCATTTATGTCTCAGAGATGGTATTGTTTCCACTTTTTCAAACAATTTCCCCCGCATATCTAGGTTTTTGTATCTACTTAATTTTATTCTATTTCCTAGAAATAAAATTTCTCCTATGCTGCCCATACATTTCCTTCTGTATATAAAAAAAGGAGTTGTATGAGAAGAGGAAAAAAACTTTTTCTTTCCTAGCTTGTATTGCTTATTTCACAACATTTCTATTGTTATGTGGCAAAGCAGAGACACAGATCCTGGGCAGTGAGCCCTCTTCAAGGAGGAAACATGGACAATGGAGTGTCTCCTATTCCAGAACAGACACACCGGGATTTTTGTTCAAAGATAGATGAAGAAGAAATAAAAATAGACCCCACCTCCATGCCCCCACACACACCTCAATTGCTTTTGAAATTGAGAGAAAAATCTTAATTTTTTCAATGTGAGAGAAATATAAGCTTTTTATTGTTTTAGAGTGATGCTCCAAACTTTGTTTCAGCCTTAGTTTTTCCAACTGTGTGACATGGCTTCACAGATTAAACAGCCCATCAACAATTACATAAATGTTACTATGTGCTGAGTTTTAGGGACAAATTTCAGACTGAGAAATAGTCACCAATCTCCAGGTTCTTAGATCTCTTATAATTGTGCCTCAGGATAGGATAAGAGTGACAGGACTTTTTAAAAAATTTTTATTGACATATAACATTGTGTAAGTTTAAAGTGTACAATATATTGATTTAATACATTTATACTGCAATATGATTGCCATTGTAGCATTCTGACCAGGCCCATAGATATAATTTTATCTAACGGTGGGAACAAGATAACTTTTTAAAGTCCATTTCACTCTAGTGTTCTACCTCTGTAGAGGATCCTTCTCTCTCTCCAACCCATCCTTCAGCTGTCCTTCCCTTCCCAGCAACCTCTTCCCCCTCTCACCAATCCTACTTCATTCATCTTTACCTTCCTTTTTATTAAATTATGACCTCTCGAAACTAAACTAAAAAATATCATCTAGTACAGTGTTTTTCAAAATAATTTTTTGATTCTCTAAACCATCTTCCCACATGAGATCAAACATAAAACCCCCAAGACATAAAGCTTATAACACATAATCACTCTGAAAAGAGGAGAGATGCCATGCTCCATCCATTCAACCTTCAGTTGAGTAACCCCAACTTCTGCCCATAAAGTGTCCCTTGGCAATATCCTAAGAATTCCCAGCCTAAGCCAACACCCTCATTTGGCAGATGAGGAAGCTGAGACTCAGAGAGGACAGAGAACAGTCAACACCTAGGCATCCAAATTCCCAGTTCTGGTGCCCTCCCATTGTCTTTCCTTTCTTTCCTTACCACAGGGTTTCAAAATCTTCTGGCCATGAAGAATCCCCATAGAAGTCTAGGGGTTAAAGTGGTTTGAAAGCTAGCTTTATTTGCCAAGGCACTATCCCAACCCTCAGAACTGGAGACATTCTGCAGTTTACTGCCTGTCCTTAATGCAGTCACTTAAACTTTTCTCAAGAACAGAGAGAAGGAGAAGGAAAGACATAGGACACACTTCAGAAATTATGAGTTTAGTTAACTGGGCCCAACCTAGGCATCCCCGTGGCCATTTCAGAAGGGCTAACACACCGAGAAAGCGGCTGGGGACAGCGCGGGTGGAGTTAAACAATGCTCAGATAAACGAAAAGAGGTTTGTGATACAGGGTAGTTTCTGCCATGACCCAGTGGTACAGGGGTGCATGATAGCATGCTTTCCCTTCTGAGGAATGAGGCCTCTGCAAGGCCTCATTTCTCCCTCACTCCTCCCACTACTGTCAGATATCCTGTGAAATGCATAGTCATTTCTCTTCTCTTTGTAATATAACAATATGGACATTTATAAAGCTTCCTCTAGCTTTTCAAAGTCAATACAATTAAAATACAGTGCATCTTAATTGTCAGCCTCCCAACTCCTTGCAGAACAAATGGCAGCAGTCTGAGTGCTGGCACTGAGCTAAAGACTGGTGAAGAAGCCAGGCTGAGATTTCTGTAAAAGTGTCCCAGACAAAACAGTTGACATCTGAGGTGACTGATTTTCTATATTGCTTTTTTTAGGCTATCTAAAACTATTTTTATATCCATCATTTCCTCTCAGTTTGCTTAAAGATAGGGAGAAAGATAAAGGAGTTCAGAATGAGTCACCTAAGATGTGCCTCAATGGTATGATTGTTCTGAGCTAAAGGCAACTTAAGCTTCAGGTTCAAGAGAAACTCCCCCCTCCCCCATCCCACACTCCTGCCTTAACTTTCCAGAAGAATTTGGATAATAGGCCTTATCCATAATAAAAGATTATCAGAAATAACATTTTTGGACCTATCTATAAGGCAAGACAAACTTCTAATTACTAAACTTCTGTCTTTATCTTCATACGATAATCCTTTGAAGCCCCCAAGGAATCTTACCTCATCCCTGGTTTAGAATGTCTTAGATATCCATTTTCCCTTTCTGTCTTTGAACCTCTTTTGCATGTGGGGTCTCTGCCTGTCTCATATATGCAGGATTCTCATGCACACATATGTATTAAATTTGATTATTCCCCTTTGCTAATCTGTTAGAACCTTGGGGGTAGAGGAAAGTTTCTTCCTTCCCCGTAGACAGTTAATTCAGTTTTCCTGGAGAAACAGAGATCCAGCAATTTTAAGTCAAAGGACATAAAAGAAGTCAAAAAGATACCATGTTATTTTAACAGATGGTACCTCTTCATCATCATAACAGCAGTGGTAAATGGTTGCTTGGACAAATTTTAAGAGTTCAAATCCTTCTTCTACCATTTACTAGCTATATGATCTTGGACAAGATGCTTGACTTTTGTTGCTTCAATATCATTTGTAAAGTGGCCAATAATAATATGAGAGTACCTACATCATTGCCTGTTGAGAGAGTAAATGAGTTATATGTGTAAGAATCTAAGAACAGCACCAGCATATAGTAAGTTCTGAATAAATCTGAACTATTATTTGTGTAGTGCTTGTGGTTTACAAAACATTTCCACAGGCATTAGGTTCCAGATCCTTTGACTTTCAGCCCGGGCATTTGGGAGAAGTTCAGAATACTGGATAAGGTCCAGAATCCTTTACTGAACACATCCCAAGGAGGATGTCTACTAGGTATTATTTCCTCAACCCAGTCCTGTCTCTTTGCTGCGTGCCCTGGAAAAGCACTCTGTTAGGCTCCAACACACTTCCTTTGTTCTGGCAGAAGCTTCCACCCAGGAAGTATGAACTTTCTCTCATCCCTTACACAGCAGGAGGCAGAATTATGTCCATTGTTGTTTAAGCCCCAGTAGTCCCTATCTCTCCACTTCCAAATGCCACTGGATATTCTTTAGAAAACCAATTCTGGGCTGAGAGAATTAAGCTGCATCACTTCCCCTAGTAAAACCTTCAGATGCCTTATAAAGTAACATCCAAAAGCTGCTCGTGGTGACTGGTCACTATCCTTCCCCCACACTCCAGATAGGGGAAGGAGCTGACAGTTTTGGAGAACCCAGGGTATAGGGCTACGTTACTATGATGCATACAGATAAGGACCTGGGGCTGTAGAAGGCAGAAGCAACTTGCCCAAGGCACCGCATTGGATAAAAGTTCTGGTTATGCACTTACCAGATCTATTATCTTCCTCAGCCTCTCTAAGCTGAGTTTTCTTATCTCTAAAACTGGGATAACAATTCCATAGGTCATTGTAAAAATTCAATGAGTTAATTTATTTATTACATTTAGCACAATGGCGTACACATAGAAGAATGTTAGGTTTTATTATTATAATTATCTGAAAAAGAGGAATAGCTAGAGTTTCCTCTGTGCCATTCCATTACTCCAAGTGGGGCCCTTGTCCCTGACTGAGGACAATAAGTTTATCTCTGAATGAGAGAGTCGTAACATTCCCCAGCCCAGCTCATGGTGTGGAGCATAGGAGCGTAGGTATGGGTAAGAAGTCCCACCTTATTTGAGGTGGATGTAGTTTTGTCCAACCTATGAAGCAATTCACTTATCCCTCGTTGATGACCAGTGGTGATCCAGTATTTCTTTGAGTCCTTTTGTTGACAGGACACTCATTCCCTAATGAGAATCAACCCATTCCATTTGAATACCTCTTACAGTTAGAAAGTGTACTTTCTCTGTTCCTTCTCCTTCCACCCTCCTTCCACTTCCCACTTCTTCTCTCACCTCTTCCTTCTTCCTTTCATCTTTTCTTCCGTCTTCCTCTTTCTGCCCTGTCCTCTCTTTCTTTTCTCTCCCCTCTCAAGCCTGAGAGCCTGAGGTCCCACTCTTTACCCCGACGTCACTATCTCAGTCATGGAGGACATGCTACGTCTGACCACTCGTCTGGCTGATGGAATTGGTCTTCAATGGCCAAATCTTCTGGGTTTTGCAGGATCTTTCGGATGCAAAACCTTTTATCTGGGCCTTCCGGCTTGGCTTTCTAGTTCATTAATATCACCTATCGGTTCGCTCAATTTCCATTATTAACTCCATCTTGAACAATTCGAGACTTGAATTGGGTTGATCTTGTGTCTTGAGGCCCAGGGGGCCCTATATCCAAGCCACGGGAAGGCTGGGGCTGACACGGGTAGCCTACTCTGATTCCAATGCTTTACCTAGAAGAACCGAACTCTACAGCCTGTGCGCAGCCTCGTGCGCGCCAGGTGGCGCGGCCTCTTTAAGAGAGGGGCGGGGCCCCAGCACAGGCAGGGCAGGGCCAGCCCACAGTCTCCTTTTCCTTTTTGATCCATTCAAAAATTACTCATTGCAAATTCCCGGACTGCTAGGAGAGGAGAAGGAAGGGGGCGGAGGAGCGGAGCTGCTGCAGGCGCCGCGCTGAAGGCACCCAAGGGCCCGAGTAGCTGACTGCTGGCCGGGCCGAAGCCGCTCGCGGGCTGTTCTGGCTCCCGTGGCCTCACCAGGAAGCGTCAGAATCTCAACACCCGGGAAGCTCCGAGCGCCGCCTCCGCCGCCGCCGCCGCTTCCCGCCCGGCTCTCGGCCCCCGGCTCCCTGCCCTACCCCAGCCCGGCTCCCTCCTCCCTCCGGGACGATCCGGCTCGGGCTCCTTCCTTGGCAATGGCTGGCCGCTGAGCCATGGCTCAGTACGGCCACCCTAGCCCGCTCGGCATGGCTGCGAGAGAAGAGCTGTACAGCAAAGTCACCCCGCGCAGGAACCGCCAGCAGCGCCCCGGCACCATCAAGCATGGATCCGCGCTGGACGTGCTCCTGTCCATGGGCTTCCCCAGAGCCCGCGCGTAAGTGGCCGGGCTCGCAGCTCTTGCGACCCCTCCAGCCCCCAGCTGCTGGCCCTCGTCTTGGGTCCAGCTTGTCTACTTGCGCCGGCCGGACAGGCCGCGCGCTCACCGCTGCCCACGTCCTATTGAGGGCAGATGGGCACGCAGGAGCCCGGCTCTATATCTCCTCAGGGCAGGGGTGCAGGGCAAGGCGCCTCGCGGGAGCGCTGGGCTAGGGGCTTGCTGAGGATGCCTAAGGTGAGACATGCCTAAGGAAAAGGGTACCAGGTTCGAGTCCCGAGTCCCCGGCCCAGCGCCCAGCCTTCGCTTGTGGGGCTAAGCTTGTGTCTGCTAAGCGCCGAGCCCCTGGGGAGGCGGGGTCCTGCAGAGGGTTCAGGTACCCTCTGGACCCGAAACTCTGGGCTGGCTTGGGATCCTCTTGATGGCTACGAAAAGGCAAAGGACAGCAGGGCAGGGAAGCCGAAGCTCCCACTGCAGCGGCTTCCAGGTCCGGATGCCGCTCTCTGATTTGGTCTCCCTCCGGAGTAGGAGGAGCGGAGCGTGGGTGTTGCTGCGTGTTCATTGATAGGGAGGAAGAAAAAAGGAGAAGCAATTCTTCCAGGCGACCTGGGTTCTCGTCAGTGGTGACAGCAGCGCAGAAATCTGTGGGTGCCTGAGAGTAAGGAGAGGGAGCTGTTCTCCCTCATCCTTCTTCCCCTTGGAGGGTGGAGTGAGGTAGGGAAGGGTAGAGAGAGCGCAGGTGGCTGCCCCTGCAGCCCGCTGCGAAGAGGCCTGGTCGCCAGCACAAGGCGGCGGTGGCAGCAGCAGCAGCAGCAGCAGCAGCAGCAGCAGGAGTCTTCTGAAGCTGGGCATCCAAGAATGTGGGGCCGGAACCCTGCCTAAGAGGAAGCTAAAGCCCGATGGCCAGGCCTTTCTTCGGTGGGGACACACAGCCTGGGATCCTGTTGGGACGCTGCTTCTTTGAATTACATCACCTGAAGGGAAAGTTGAACAAACTTTATTAGAAAGGGCCAAGTTAATGAAAGTTTTTTTTTTCCTCCCTCTTTTTTCATGCGATAACTCTTAGGCTTCCCTTCCCTGGCCTTTAGGCAAACCTTGTTTATTCTTTAGTAATCTGGCTGCGACCTCTTAATCAAATCAGACCCCTGATTTTATCATTCCACACAGCCTGCTGGGACAGATTGGAGTGGCATTGGAAGACTATGAAATGCACTGATGTTTCTACCTCCCACTGGCTTCCAAGCACTGGGGCTGCAGTCTCTGATGCTAGATTTGCAGGGAGAAGATGTGGTGGACTCTACATAGATGTGTCAGGTGTGGATGTGGCAAGTTAGGTCCTTCTAATAGATGATGGCTGAGTATAGTTATCCTTAAGAATGGGAGGTAGGGGCTGGTGTCTGCTGGCATTCTTTGGCTTGTAGCTGCATCACTCCACGGCCACAGTACCTTCTCTTCTGTGTCAAAGATCCCTCTGTCTTTTTTCTATAAAGACACTTGTGATTGCATTTAGGGCCTCTCCAAGGTAACTCAGGATAATCTTCCCATCTCAAGATCCTTAGCTTAATCACATCTTCAAAATCCGTTTGTTTGTTTATTTGTTTATTTATTTGCCATGAGGTGATGATCACAGGGTCCAGGTATGAGGACCTGGATATCTTTTGGAGAGCCATTTTCAGCCTTTTACAGCTACTATTATTGTTAGTAGCACTGCCTCTCATTGCTGAAAAGGTGACAGAGTAGGTCATGATGAAATAGCCTGGGTGGGAGGAGGTTGGGTTCACTGTTCTGTCTCCCACAAATCTCTACCAGAGAGTGGGCAGAGCCTTTGGTAGTCACCTGATCTATTTGCACTCCCTGCCCAGGCTGGCATCTCTTCTACTTCAACCTAAAAAGGCTAATGTGGTCAGCCTTCCCCTTAATAACTTAACTCAGGTCAGTAAGAAGAGGGACCACTCCATGGGGCCATCTGAAATTTTCAGAGAGCAGATTTTTAACTTTATTTTGGAGAGCTGAGAAGAAAGAGAGCAAAGGCAGCAGGCTTAGCTTCTGAGAAGCCTCTTTTTTAAGTCTTAAGCCTGGAGGAAGGAATATGATGAAATTGCAAGCAGGAGAGAGCAGGTATGGTTTCCTGGGATCAGGATGACTTAGCTGTGATACGAAGAAAGGATGAGACTGATGCCTGAGATATGGCCATTCAGAGAGAATGGTGGTAGCCAAGGCTGACAGTTCTGATTTTCCCTCTGGGTGTAACTGGGTCTGGTGTTGCGCAGCACAAGAAGAGACCTTCCACTGGGCTCTCGGTGGGCTGTCAAAATGCTCAGAGGCCAACAAGTCCCAGGTCCTGGATAACTCATTTAACCTATCAGGGCCCCACTGACTCCCTCTGAGCGGGATAGGATTAATCAGTGTGTGTTTCTTAAGTGCTTGACAAAGCTACAGGAAATAAGTGCTGCACAAGCAGGGTGACCTCAGGGTGTGTTCTCTGTGGCTCCTTACTCCCCTGGAGCTGTGCTGGATTTTTTCCATTCCACCCTATGAACTTCAGCTATTTAGACACTGCTGTGGAAGAACCTGCCACGTGAAGAAAGATTGAGGAGTGGTGATTTTTATGGTGGTATGTGTGTGTGTGTGTGTGTGTGTGTGTGTGTGTGTGTGTGTGTGTGTGTGTGTTTAAGCAAGCAGAAGGTAAGGAGGTGTTAGGGAAGCCTCTGGAAGAAAACTTTCAAGGGGCCAAAATGGCCTATTCCTTTCTTTTTGTTTCTATGCCCAATAGTTTTCTGTTGCAAAAGTTCTAAAAATAAAGGTCTAGCTTCATCAAGACTGGAGTGAGGTTGGTAGAAAGAAAAGTAAGAGTGTCTGTGCTGGGCAAAGGCCTGAGGAAGAGGATGTCTGGGGCCAGGAGAGGGGCTGAATAGATCACCAGAGAAGGAAGGATAGGAACTCTGATAGAGTCGTTGCTTTGCATACTCGATTTCATACTATCTCACTACTGGCCTTTGCAATTTCTGGGGAGTGAAGCTCTCATATCTCTTCTGTAGCTTGAGGGCAACTGTGGGAGCAAGTCACTGGACAATGAATCTGAGGAGTCCTGGCTGATACAACCCTGCTTTTTATTTTGTTTTGGTTTGAGGCTTCCTGGGGCTAGTACTTTGTCTATAGCCAATGGCCTTCAAATGTTTCCTAGTACTTTGTCTATAGCCAATGGCCTTCAAATGTTTCCTATGTCCCTTCTTGCAAAAGGACACCCATGACAGGGGTCAGATGTCCCAGAATTCTAGTTTAGCTTCTGACTGACACTTGAAGCTTTTAGGTCTTCTGTTTAAGCCCTTTTTATCAATCTCCTGACCAGCTTCTGTGCATGAAAATGCCTGTCCTGCGTTATCTGACATGCTTTGTAAAGACAAAATGAGATCAGGGCAAGAAAGAACTTGGAGAAGTTAAAAGTGTATTCTGGACACAAGATAGATATGATTATGGTATTATTGGAAGAAAAAGAAGGGGGTGAGGTGGTGGTTGAAGTTCTTGGCAAGGATTCACATGTGCTATTGGGTTATCTTTTTTCCTACTGAGAATACTTAAACGATGCCTTGTTAAAGAGCAAGATAGTGGCAGAAGGAAAGAGCTGGAAGAAATGCCTTTGACTTTGCTCTGGGCAGGAAGCTCTGTTAGCTATGCCTCACTGCCCAAAGATAAAGCAGCACAAGCTGGCTACACAAAGAATTGAGAAGCATCTTGGAGAGCCCATGAATTAAAATATCCAGTTTCTCTGACCTCCAGCCTACCTGGTGATTGACATTGGATTCTCTGAAAGTACTTGGTCAACTCAGCATCTCTGAATTGCGGCTGATTCTGGGAGAGGGCTTCTTTCTCAGGGGTATTAGATATGATGCAGGGCAGGGCAAATTACCTAAGTGGAGTGGAGGGAGGTGGAGCTCAAGCCCTGCACTAAGAAAGAAAAGTGTTCTTAGCTGAGCACAAGGAAGAATTCAAAGCCCACTAAAGTCAGAGTCAAAAAGAAAGTTTGTTAGAGAAGGGGTAATGCTCCACAGACAACGTGGTCTCCTCTCAGAGGCAGAGATTGAAAGAGCCTGAGAGAGACTCAGAGGGACAGACAATAGAGAGAGATGGAGACAGAGAGAGAGCCGGAGTAAAGACACTGAGTAAAGGCAGTGAGAGGGACCCTGAGTGTTTGGGGAATTCAGTTTATATATCATTCTTTAGTTTCTGTGAATTACAGTTTAAAGCCTTTGTTTACCCATTTTCCTTTGATACAAGCATACAGTGAGAAAGGATAAGATTATGTAGCAGGAAAAGGTAAGAATATGCAATGTGAAAGACATGCTGCCTATTTCCAGCCTGTAATCCATAGATTCCCCATGGTTTTAGCAATAAGGAACGAATGATTTTATTTTGTGTAGGGTGTCACTTAAAGACTCTGTTTTTCTGTTTTCCCTTCACAGTGTGGGGAAATGTGTTGTTAGCAATCCTTGCAAAAATCTTCTTTTGTTCTATAGGTGTCCTCCTGGTCTGGCTGTAGGACTGATCAGCATATTGCAGTCTCTGAATATAGCTTGATTTAACATTTTAGTCCTCTTGATTTAACATGTAGTCCTACATTAGGCAGAAAAAGAAAAAAAAACATGCCCATTTGGAGCTGGAGGGGTCTCATAGGTGAGTAGGGTGAGGAAGTCTAGAATCTACCTGTTGTGACCCTGTGCCCACACAGTACTTCCTTACATTTGTGTGTTATTTTGCAGTTGGAAATTGCTCTCACATGTGCTAAATATCCCTTTAATCGACACAGCAGTCCTATGAGGTAAAGCACACAATAAAAGCCTCATTTTAAAATGAGACTTGAGGCTCTGAGGAGCTCAGGGACTTACCTTGTGTGGGACCATGTTGTCATGACAGTCTTGGGCTAATACTATAAGTCCAGTTAACTTCCCAGGCCACACAGAGGCCCTAGTTCAAAAGGAAACTCCTTGACATGTGTTCTTTTT